TTACTTTTCTCTATTCAATTAAAGTTAAATATTAATTTCAACTATATATTTACAATAACTACTCATTTATTAACCACACGTTCCATAAAACCCATTACAATTCCTTTTAAGTATTTACTAATAATTTCACATTAAAGTACACCCCTGTTTTGTTTTGCTATAAATTAGATTTTTAATAGAATTTTGATAAAAGTTGATGGAATGTATGATTGAAAAGTCGATAACATCTGTGAATTCCACGAAATGTGTGGTCTTTGACTTAAAACTTTTATCGACCTTTTTAGTTAAACCACACGGTACCTATATAAATTTTTGGATAATCTTGTCTAGAAACAAAGACCAATTGTCACCAAAGAATGGAGTTTAAGAGCAAGAAACTCTTTATTTCTAAAAAGACAATACTTAAAATAAGTTTCAATATATAGAGTAGGTTTGGCTTCCTGAATTTAGAAAGTAAAACTCCCTCTATTTTAAATGTACAATGATTACATTTAATAAGTCAAGAATTTCAATACTCCATTTTTTAAACTATTCAAACTACATTTAATTTGATTGACCATTGATATGTAAAAAATTAGGTTAAATAAAATATGAGGAGAAATCCATAAATGTTTCTTAGAAAAAGCAAAATGAAGAGCCAAAGTAGAGAACATTGTTAGAATACATAAAAAATTTGATTCTCCAAATTTAAATATGCTCAAAGAGACACTCTAAATTTATTGATTTCTTCTCCTATTTTACTTATTTATATATATATGAATGGAGCCATATTGTTCTTGATGCAACATACTAAACGAATTAGTTTTAATTCGTTTACATATCTTTGCTTTATTTTAATTTTATGCACTTAATTCATTTCAACAAACCCCCTTACTTTCGCTTGCTTATCGGGACTGGGGCTAAACCAATCTTGTTAGATGGCAAAATCAGAATTTAAACACCTGTTTAAAACCAAAGGAATTGGTCCCTTCACACGGTACTACAATTTTATATTATTTCAAGTTCTATTTTTTCAAAAATATGACAAGTTTTACTCATTTATTTATTTAATTCGTTGACCATTAATTTGATTCGATTAAACCTTTTTTTGACATTTGATTACTCTTCCATTTCAATACATTACTCGAGATACTAATTCGTTTATATGTCCATAAATTTTTTCCAAGTCATCATGGTCCATTGGTAAATCTTTTCTGGAAATAAAAACCTACTGTGGTGGGCGTTGGGAGGTGGGTGTAAGTCAAGTCTAAATTTAGCGGTAGCCTTAGTGAAATTTACAAGGTGACATTCTTGATGCTATTAAAATGATATTGTTCCTTTTATATCGCAGCCTAGTGGTGGTGGCGGTTTTGCCGTCTAAGTTTCTAATTTTTCATTCAATTTTTTTATTATTTATTGTAATTAATTTTTCTAAAGGATGATGGTGATGTCGTAGTCGACGCGTTTGCATTTATAAATGTGGTGTTTGAGTGAGGATGAGAATGGATTAGGATGGGTGAGTGTCAATGTGGTGGGTGGATGTGGTTGGTTGGAGAAGATGAAATTTGTGTTAATATATGTTTTATTAATTTTAAGCAGGATTTATTTATTCTTTTGAAAAACTAAGCAATTTCATTTGCAATTTTTTTTTTACTTCTTTCTTTTATTTTTGTTTATTGAAATAGTTATTTATATGGCTAAAATGGAGGGAATGATAGTTTTGTTACATAATTGAAAGGTTAAGAATTAATTATTTAAAAAAAAAAATCAATCATAGATTTGTTACGTCTCACAAAAATTGAGGACGAAAATCAGAAATCAGGCGATCGGAATACAAACTAAAGAAAAAGAACAAATTTTTTTATTTAATTTTTTGGACTAATATCCATCTTCAAATGTTACTTAGATACTAATTTGAGGCAAAATCATAATGAAATTCTTGAATGATGATTTTTTTTTTCCCCGAACTATCTGACTAGTAACGATAATTTATTTTTTAAGCGTGTCATTTGATACTCAACTTTAAATTATGTGAAGAATCTTTTCCAAATATAAAAACCAATAAGGTGTAAAGTCAAGTCTTACTCATTATTTATTTATTTTTTGTTACGAGAAATCCAAACATTTTTTTCTAGCCATCACTATTGATCGGAACTCGTTGATTTGACAAGTATGCAACAATAATTTCTCTTTTGTTTGTAGTTCATTCTTGCTAATTTTTCAGTGTTTATTGTGTCTAAATTACAAGACACAAATTTCTTCAAACAAAGGAAATTAAATAAAAAGATGAAAAAAAAATTCGATCCTCAACATTATGACCAGTAATTTCATAGATATTTGAAAGACCCAAGTCCTAACTATAATATTTGGGGTTAAATAAATTTCATTGTAACCATGATTTTTTTATTTTTTTTTTCAATTGGTCATTGCAATTTTCATTTTTATTCACTTGTTTAAATTCTATTTGTTTTTCTAACGAGATAACAAGCAAACAACAGTAATTGAGGGACAAAAGAAAAGGCGAGTTTCAGTAATTTGTAATCAACTAGAACTTATTAATTTTCTCATCTTTAGCTAATAAATTGTCAACTTTAATATCACACATTCCTTTAAAAAAATGTAAACAAATTTAATGGAGAACAAACTATAATTTCTAATATCACTTTGAAATAAAATAAAGTTCACTGAATGACGTGGAATTTTGCTGTAAGTTGAGTGATTTTCTATGTTATTTATCCCTAAATATAAGCGTGCAATTGGATTCTTAAGCCTATCTTCGTATAACATTAAAAGTTAATAAAAAAATATTTTTCTATTCAATTAGTATCAATTACAATCATATATTCATTATTCACAACGAATTTTTGGAAAATCTATTCTGACAATAACGACCAATTGGCACCAGAGGGTGGGGTTTAAGTCAAGTCTTCCTTTTTTGTTTGTTTAATCAAGAATTCATTAGCTGGAACTTTGATTTGACAAGTCAATACATTTTTCTAATGAGTTATTGCTGATATGAATAGTCTTTTCAGTAGCTTTCTACACAAATTCTTTCTTACAGCTGGTGCTATAAGTAGTCCACTTAAATGGTAAAAAATTACAAAAGAATATTAGAAAATTCTTAGTTACAATTGTTCACAAAATGATAGTTGATCAAAAGTTCTATCAACATCTCCAATTGTTAGTCATTGTACTACTACTGAGTTGGAGAGCCACTTTTGAACACTCTACAAGAATGGAGGATGGCATTAGGTGCATAGAAAAGGAGAAAGAAGCTCTTCTCAAGTTCAAAGATGAGCTTATTGATGAAGATAGCCGACTCTCTTCTTGGGGAAATGAAAAATATAAGAACGATTGCTGCAAATGGAGTGGTGTCAATTGTGATAATCAAAATAATCATATTGTTGAGTTGGATCTTGGTGGTATGTTTCTAAGAGGTAACATTAGCGTCTCATTGCTTGAAATACAACATTTGAAATATCTAGACCTCAGTGAGAATGATTTCAATTATAGCATGATTCCACAATTCATAGGTTCCCTGGATAGATTACAGCATCTTGATCTCTCCTATTCTAATTTTCAGGAGAAATTCCACATCATCTTGGCAACCTTTCTGAATTGAATTCTCTTTATCTTTGCTCATTTGAAGATGGTTCACTTACTAGCACAAATCTTGATTGGCTTTCTCGACTTCATTCATTAAGAAACCTGTCCATGTTTTCTGTTAACCTCACAATGGCTACCGATTGGTTACAAGCAATAACTAAGCTTACTAAGCTTCAAAATCTAGAATTAGATTCATGTAACCTGCCAATGGTACTTCCTTCCTCACCTTTCAATGCTTTTAATTCTCTTTCTAACTTATGGCTCTCG